TGGACCGACCCGGCCTTCCCGCGCTCCCCATGCCCCGCCCACCCTCTCCGCTGCTCGCCCTGGAAAATAATAATAATAATCGACAGGAATGACCCTCAAGCAGTGTCACCTCCAGAAGCAAGGAGAATCCCTCACCTTGTAGGCTTTTCAGGGTCAAGGATCGCGGAAGTCCTTTCGATTTAGCATTTAAAGGAAGCGCTCAAAATTAATCTCCCTCAATTGACTATCCCGGCAGAAAGCACCTCCCTGTCCGGATGCGCCCTTCCTTGTCGCTTGACCTCACTCAGGTACCCCCTCCCTCACACACCATTTCCTCTTCCTCCCTTTACTTCTCTGGGCGGCCAATGGAGAGTAAAGGGGCTTTCGCGTTTGACCTTGAATTTACCTTGCCAGGATTCTTTCCGGTCCTGTGTTTCAGGGGCTTTCAAACTTTGGACCAAGACCCACCGCAGGAAATGGTTTACAAAAACAGACCCAGGCATGTGTGACCACATTCATTTGTTGATAATATGTATTACAGTTACATGTATAAAAATGCATTATGTATGTTTTTATGTGGACAAGAAAGAAACTTCTCTACCCTTCTAGGTTCTTTCAGCTACTCTAATAATTAAATCCACATGAGACAGATTAGCAAGAGAAAATAACTACATTTCATTACATTCGTATTAATAGGAACTCCACATGAGCGAGTCAGAGACCCACATACGTGAGAGGTTCAGAGACACAAAGGAAAAATGAGATATCTATGGCATTTTGAGCAAAGGATGAGGTAAGGTGCTTGAGGCTTCAGAAGGAGGGCAAAGTTTGCCCTTCCCTATAGATAGATCATAGGTTATATTTCTGATAACTCATAATGGGCAAGACCCCCAATTTGAATTCTTTAAGGGAGAGGTAAAAGTTTCTCCTGAACTGGCAGGGTCTCCATTGCCTTCAGCCAAAAATAATTCACATGTCACAAAAAGACAACTACCATATGGTTTCACTTATATATGTGGAATCTAAACACAAAACAAAACAAAACAAAAAAACACAAGTGAACAAACAAACCAAAAACAGACTCATAGAAACAGAGATCATGTTGATGGTTGCCAGAGGGGAGGGTGATGGTGGGGTGGAGGGATGGGTGAAAAGGATGAAGAGAAATGTAGTCAATAATATTGTGATAAATTTGCACAGTGATAGATGATTACTAGACTTGGTGTGGTGTTCATATTGTCAAATCACTATATTCTACACCTGAAACTAATATTATATTGTATACCAACTATACTTAAATAAAAATAAAATTTTAAAAAATTAAAATAAAAAATCATGTATGTTATGCCCAGATTTCAGGATCCCCAAGAAACCACATCAGGGAGCCAGCCAGTCCGATGCAAAAGCATAAGAGTCTTTATTTGAGCTAGCTCGGCTCCCCCACCTTGCCGACGCAGCGACAGGAAGCAGAGAGAGAGAGAACTCTGTGTGGAGAGGGGTTTTATAGGGGGTTGGAGTAAGGGGAGGAGAAAGGGCTGTGGCCTTGCCGATTGGCCAGGCACAAGTCGGTGTCTTGTTCCTGGGTGTGGCTAGCAGAGGCTTAGACTTCCAGGAAGAAGCTCCTTGCCAAGCACATGGCCAAGGCAAGATGGAGGGCCTAGCCCTTACCCTGGGGCAAGATGGAGGGCCTAGCCCTTACCCTGGGGCAAGATGGAGGGCCTAGCCCTTACCCTGGGGCAAGATGGAGGGCCTAGCCCTTACCCTGGGGCAAGATGGAGGGCCTAGCCCTTACCCTGGGGCAAGATGGAGGGCCTAGCCCTTACCCTGGGGCAAGATGGAGGGCCTAGCCCTTACCCTGGGGCAAGATGGAGGGCCTAGCCCTCGCCCTTTCAATGTACATGCCAACGTGGCATACCTTGAGGAAGACTGTTCTGAACCTTTTCATTTACATATATTGCAAAATGTTTCCAAAACAATATTTATCCTTCCATGCTATGCATTCTGCATTGTTTTATTCTATCACATAGCTTTTTTGTTTTTTAAATTACTTTCCCCCTTTTTATTGCATAGCATTTTTTTTTAAAATGCTGGTTGAAAACCACTGAACTGATTTTGTAAACCACCATGCTCTCTATGAATTTCTAAAGCAGTCTACTGTTCCCACTCTCTCACTTTTTTAAATCCCTTTCCCTAATCTTTCAGTGTTCTGAAATATCAGCTCTGTCTTTTTCCCTTCTAGCTTTACACTACCTCACTTGTCCATTTCTGTGTTTATAGTTTTACCACATTTGCTCTGCAAATAACTTTTTCTATACTCTGTTCAGAAATCGATGCTGGACTTGATAACTGCTGATAAGCTGGTGTGTGTTAGGACAGGAATGCAGATGAATCATTTTTTTCTGAATTTCCTGGAAGAGGAAAAGACACAGACAGGCATATAGGCAAATATAAAGGAACTAGGCTAGCATGCCTCTAAACACCGTGAAAGGCAGTAACTGAATGATATAGATAGATAAGGATTTCTGAGACTTTAGCAGGCAGTGAAGAGAAAGCCACCAATTTTGCCACATTGATTCATTTAAAAAAATTCCTGACCATGTTTGAACTTTCACACACTTTTGACTCTCAGATTCTAACAAGAGAGCAAATTATTTGTTTGGCAGTAGAGTGGAATCAGAATTCAGACATTTCAGAATAAGCAGGGCTAGATGTACACGAGAGATGCTCAAATATATTGATCCTATGATCCCACAACTGTCTGTATTCCACATCTTCATTTCTTTGACCAAAACAAAATTGAGAGGCCAAAATATTGAGCTTTCGGGAATCACACACGCCTCAGCTTTCTTTCAGAGTTCAGGGAAGGTCAAAGGGAAGAGTCTAACTCAGCCTATCTTAACTTCACACCCTAAATATTTACTCTGACTCTCATAGACCTATTTCCTCTTTTCCTTTTGGAATTATTCTCATTTGTCTGCTCCTTCTCATTTCTTCCTTCTGTGGCAGAACCTGGACTAGAATTTCAATCTCCTGACATCAAGCCTAGTGCCCTTTTACAGCAGCTTGAGGGAATGGAAGCTGAGGAGAATTAGGAAGGAAAATGAATAAAAAGGAAGAAAGTAGGATGCTGGTCCACCTTGATCTCCCCGCCACCCACCTAAGATCTGAAGGCAAAGCAGTGAAAGAAACACTGGATTGGAAAGCTAAGGACATCGATCTGATCTTGGCCCTGTCACTCAACACTTGATCTTCCTGACCTTAAGTAACTAATTTCCTCCTATGGCTTCCTTTTGCTCATTTGTAAAATAGGGAAAATGTCACTGATGTGGATGGGTTAATGTGAGGCAAGTGACGTAATGCCTGTGAAAGCATTCTACAAGCAGCATGGTTAATCACGAAAGGCAAGATGCAGTCTCACTGGCAAGTTTGTTTTCACCAAAGAAACCCAGTGGTGAAGACCTGAGGTCTTTCATGCAAATGATTTAAGTAGTTTGAGTCACCCGAAGCTCAAGAAATCAATGTTAATCTTCACTTATTATTTATCCTCTGGCTTTACCTGTTCTTTGTTAATTTACACAGAATTTATATAAGCAAGAAGACTACATTTCCCTAGAGAATCTTTAGAGAATTTTTTTTTGTCCACTAGCACTTCTTGGTCTTATATATGCCTGATTTATTCTTTCTAGTCTAGTCTATTTGGAAAGTTAGCCTTTCCTTAATCTCTCCTTGCTATTCTAATGACAACTTGGCTATGGATTGATATTGATATGAAAAGCATAACAAAAAGTTAGTGCTGGAAAGGATTGCAATAAACAGCACAGGCAATCCTTTATTTTATGGGACTGGGATGATTTAGGCAGACATAAGAAGTGATTTGCCCAAGTTAGCAGAGGGGGCTAAAGAAAGATTAAAGAATTTAAATATAGTTGATAAAAATAGTCAAATTGGGAGCTTTCCCCTCCTTGCATGCAAACTGGAGAATTTACTCACATGTATGTTAAAAATATCAGTGTACCGACCTAAAATTATGTGTCACTTTATGTAATGTTGCACTTGTAATAGAGTTAGAATACAGCAATGATTCCCAAACTTTACCTACATCAGAACCACCTAGAGGACTTGTTAAAACCCAGGTTGCTGGGCCCCAACACCAGAACTTTTGGTTTAGTAGGTGAGAGCTGAGAATTTTCATTTCTAACAAGTTCCCAAGTGATGCTGATACTGCTGGTACCGGGACTGCACTTGGAGAACCATTGAGCTGGAATCTCTATTTAAAAAAAAACAAACACAGTATAAGCTTCAAGGGTGCTATTCTTTAAAAAAAAAATTATTGATTTCAGAGAGGAAGGGAGAGGGAGGGGGAGATTAAAACATCAGTGATGAGAGAGAATTATTGATTGGCTGCATCCTGCACGCCCCCTACTGAGGACCAAGCCTGCAAACGCCCCCCCCCCCCACAAACCCACACACGTGCCCTTGGCTAGAGTCCAACCCGGACCCTTTAGTCCTCAGGCTGATGCTCTATCCACTGAGCCAAACCAGCTAGGGCCCTATTTTTTAGGAGTTCACAAAACTGCGTGGTTAGAGAAATCTGT